AAAAACATATACAATGAGTAAATATACAAAGGAAAGTTTAACGCACAGTTCAATATTAATGGGAGGATGAGTGGTAGTTACGTGGATTTCTAATCAATGCTAATCACTGGTGATTATCCCTTAACCAGTTTTTCCATATATTTTGACCAATGCAATTAATTGACCAGATAATGTTTGATTTTTTATTTTCTATTTTTACCCTAATAAAAAAGTCCTGGCAATGACTTTATCCTGCCTTTTTATCTCCACACCACATGGTGGCATTTGAATAGAATTGGGCCCACCACCGTCAAAACTGAAAAAGCTACTCTCATCCAATTTCCTCGAATATTCTTAATTAAATGCCTATTTAATTAGTTAATGTTTAGAAAACATTATCCCTTGTGATTAAATTAACATTGTTCTTATGAGTCCAAGATTGTGATGATAGGCATATCACAATTAATAAGTAAATTAGTTGATATAAGTTATTAGTTTTGATTGTATTTATTGAATAAAGTCATTTAATTTTTTTTTTTAAATGATAGTTTTTGTTTGCGTGAGATTTTGAGTTTGTATTAAAATAATATTTAAAATGCTATTGATATCTGAGTTGGACTGACATGAGATCCTCGATCAAGGACGAACCGGAAAAAGACGACCTGGGGACTCGAATCGAAGATTCGGGAGATCAAGAAGTGCCGAGCTAACGAGGAAGCAAAGTCAGCCAGAATATCGAGTGGAACTGGTTCCGAGGTCGGCACCTTGGTCGCTCAGGAGCAAGACCGACCTCGCGAGATGCCGAAAGATAAATGGAGTCTCGAGGCTCGGAGAATGAATCAATAAAAAGGTCCAACCTGAAGACTTTACAAAGTCGGCACCCGAACGCCAGCGAGACCCGAAATTAATAAAATATTACCACTTTTCAACTAGTGATTACTGATGGGATGCAACCCCATACCCTGGCAACCTGGAGTACCTAGCTCGGCAGAAAGACCTGTCCGCATTAAATGCTCAGCAGGGGGAGCATTAAATGCCTGACAGACAATGATTAGGAAAACTTCAAATCGCATTTAATATCTGTCAGAACGACGCCGACCTGCTTTGTGGAATCACTGTGCGACGGTACAACATGAACATTGCGTGAACAGTGCCGAATTTAAGGCTACTATAAATAGAATACCCATCTCATTTGTTTTGGGTTGTTGAATCCCTCAACTACTGCCTTCTCTCCACATTTTTTCTCTCTAAGTCTGTAATAAATTCCCACAAAAACGCTAAGTGTCACAGAAGCACCGACCTAAGTTACAGAGGCTGACCTTGTAATTATATAATAAATTTCATTTTCATCGTATACCTTTTTGTTATATAATAAATTTCATTTTCATCGTATATCTTTCCCGTTTTACCTTTTTGCCATCATAACATTTTATTTTAACTGTTGATCGGATAAGTCCATCAGATCAAACACTGATTACTTTGATACCTAAGTGTACTAACCCAGTTTCTTTAAGACAATTCAGACCAATCAGTTTGTGTGGGGTTGTTTATCAAATCATATCAAAGATCATAGCTAATAGAATTAGATGTATTTGTGTAGGTAGATGTGTTAATGAATCTCGATATGCATACCTGGGAGGCAACAAGTGAACTTATCAAAGTCAACAGTGTTCTTCAACAAGAACTCTGCTCCCCTTACTAGAGAGAATATTTGTGGATTATGAATGGCATCAAGGCTCACAATTCAACAAGTATCTGGTCTTCCATTGGGCATTGGGAAAGAAAAAAAAGAGGCCTTTGATTACATACTTCAAGATGTTAGGGGAATATTTGGAACTGAAAAAATAAACTTTTGTTTTGTGTTGATAGAGAAGTGCTAATTATGGTTGTCTTGAATGCAATGCATGTGTTTGCCATGTTCTGTTTTATTCTCCTTACAGGTACTTTCAAGGCTATTGCTCAGTTGTGTAGCCAATTCTAGTGGAGTAAGAGAGGGGATCAAGATAAAGGGTGTCATTGGAAGAGCTGAATCCATCTTACTTTACCAAAGAACAAGGGTGGCTTGGGCTTTCAAGATGTCAAAATTTTCAATAAAGCTTTAATATTGAAGCAACTGTGAAGATCGAACACTGAACCGCCGCTCCTAGTCAACAAGGTACTCAAAAGTAGATATTTTTCCAACCTTTTGTCTTTGATGCTAAAAAACACTAGACTGCCTCATGGAAATAGAATAGCTGGCTAGGAGTTCTCTAGGTGTTTAGCAAAAAGGTAAAAGGAGAGGTAAAAAATGGTGCAAAAACAAAAATTCAGGACCCTTGTTGGGTACCACTTCTCAGTATAAAACCTCCTACTATTAAAGAAGAGTTTAGGGATAGATTGTTGTGGGTGAAAGATCTCATGCAAGAAGATGACCAGAAATTGAATGAGGAGTTAATCAAACAGGCCTTTTATGGGCATGAGGGAAAAGTAATCTTACATATCAGTAATTTGAATCCTACCCTGCAAGATAAATGAAGATGGAAATTTAATTCAAAGGGGTTTTCTCAGTGGATTCATCATACAGTTATCTGATTTACAACAAATGTCTACTGATGGATTTTGGCAGAGGGCAGTGGTTCAGCAAAGCAAGATGAGGAGGCTAGAAAGAGAAGTTGGAAGATGAAAGTAAAGAGTAAACTGAAACACTTCCTGTGGAAGTGCAATACTGGGACTTTACCCCTGCTAAAGAGTTGAAGGCTAGAGGTGTCGAAGTTGATGAGATATGCAGAAGCTGTGCTGAAGAAAACTGAGACAGTTGAGTATGTATTTTTATATTGCAGGAAGGCTAGGCTAGTATGGAAGATGGCACCAATTCCATGGGATGGTCTTTTGGCCAATCAGAGTAGATTCAAACAGTGATAATGGCAACTCTGCAGCTTGGATAAATCAATGGTGTCTGAGCTCAAATACAACTAACTACCTATATATTAAGTGGTTATGGAGAGCACACAATCTATGGGTTTTTAAACATGAAAGGATGTCTGAGGTAGCCATTGTAAGGATGGATGTGAGGGACTGGAAGGAGTTTGATGAAGTGAAGAGACGGGAGAGTGCGGCAAAAGGATTCTGCTAGGTTCTTTCAATGGCTAGGCTTTTTCTCCTTTTTTTTTTGCCTTTTTTGTGTTATTTCTCTTGTTTTTTGTGTTTTCTGTTGCTTTGGTGTTGTTTGGTGCAGATGTAGTGCTGTGAGTGTCTTTTTCACGCTATGTCTGAGGGGTGGTAGTTTGTAACTTCTAGACCACTGGCAGGTGTGTCTCTCAGCTTTTTGTGAGGTGTGTTACGGCTTGGTGCCGGTTTTGTACTGTTTTATTTTGGTCGTTTAATATCTTCTACTGTTTTGAAAAAAATAAAAAAGAATTAAAGTTTATGTGATTTGTAAGGATGATTGGTTGATATTATTTAATTATATTGATAATATGATGAGAATTGAGTTAGGTTAAATTTGAGTTTAAAAAAGTTATCAAGTCATAACCATATAAATTTATATCTAAGTGCCTGGATATAAGTTGTGATTGGATTTTTCCAATCACAACTCAATTTTAAATAAACTCCAACTCTTTTTGATATTATCAATATTCTTCTTATATTTAATTCACGAATATGCTGAGCCTAAGTGATAGACTCGCATGCTTCGAGATAATATGTGACAAAATTTCATTCTTTATTATTTTGTTAGGATAGATTTTAATTTACTTTCAATATAAAAATAATTAGATTCAGATTATTCATAAATATGTTGATTAGTTATAGTCAGTTTAGATGTATTAATTGTATTTTAATATTATTTTTTATTATAACCATTGAATTGTAAATATACTAGTACTATCCCGTGCAATGCACGGGTCTGATATATACTACTTAATTGCAATAAATAAACATGAGGTATATCATTACTACTTCAAACAAAAATATGAAAAAAAAAAATAATATAAAGATCCGGCAATCTGAGGTCCTCTACCAAAGACAGAAAAAATCGAAAGTACTAATATATGATATATATATATATATATATGATGAAAAACGATAAATAACATGAATATTACTAATAATATTTTTTTCTTCAAAAAAAAAGGTCAAAACAACTTGTTAGTTGCAAACAAAATAACCATCATGATAACATACATACATATATATATATATATATGCACATATATATAAATGTATATATATCACGTAATATGGGATCAAAAAAAATATTGACGGCACAATTTCAATATCATATTAAGATCTAAAAGATGAGTTATCTTTTAATATGAGACCTAAAAAAAACTAACGCCGTGTACCATTCTTCATTTCATATTCTCAACCAGGTCAAAAAACCCAGTTGTTCACATTAATTTGTCTGCCTCTTTTTTTTTTTTATTTTCTTTTTTACTATCCTTCATTTCATATTCTACTTTTTGTTTTGAGAAATTTTTTTTCACATAATGCCCTGACCTACTTGATGGCGGGGAGATCTCATTGCCGGGAAGAAAGTTTGTGGCTGCTATAATGGTTGAGCCGTGAAGATAACCACCACTTCCATCGGGTCCTTACCCTGTTGGACACCACATTTTTCGTTTCCGTTTGCCACCCTTCTGAGATTTATAAATAGATCCAACAAAACACACTCAAAACATTAATCAAATTAAGCATCGAAAAAAAATAATTTTAAAAAATTCATTGTTTAACTCATTTGTGCCAGAAAACCATCCCCAACTTCAATAATAAATAAATGGAGCACAATATTAGAAAAAAATAAAAAAATTCTAACATGCAAATCAATTAATGAATGCATTAGAATGTTCAACTATCATATCAATTCTATTGTTTTTCTTGTGGAGCTGACGCCAACAGATATTCAGTGGTCATCCTTCAATATCAACCACTCATCACTGTCAAGGTCCAAATTTCGAAGCAAATATGAGACTCTTTGATAGATCACCACCCGTCGTGTAGTTTAGCCCAGTCGCTCATCGCCACCGATCATCTACATATCTAAGTTATATCCGTGGTAATCTGACGAAAAAAGGAAGACATGAATGAAAAAAATGGGTGGGAGAGAGTAATAAAGAGATATAAAGATTGAGCAAACGTGTGATAATTGATTGTAAATACTCCCAACAGATTAATTATGGGATGTATATCAAGTTAGTTTTACCAAATAAGAAAAAAAAAAAGAATTATAATATTTCTAATCAGTACAACTCATTTACCAATGAAGAAAAAGGTCTTTTGAAAAATAAATATTATACGTATTAATGTTT